GAGGAGAGAAAGCAAGAATTATGTAAAGAGACCAAATCTATGACTCAATGGCATCTTTGAAAGAGAGGGACAGGAAGCAAGCAACTTGGAAAATATATTTAAGAATACTGTCCATAAAAATGTTGCCAGCCTTGCTAGAGAGGCCAATATTCAAACAGGAAATGCAGAGAACCCTAGTCAAATACTATACAAAGATGAGGATCCCCAAGACACAGTCATGAGATTCTCCAAAGTCAAAATGAAAGAAAAAATGCTAAACGCAGCTAGAGAGAAGGGGAAAGTCACCTTCAAAGGGAACCCCATCAGGCTAACAGCAGACCTCTCAACAGAAACCCTACAAGCCAGAAGAGAGAGGGGGCCTATATTCAGCATTTTTAAAGAAACAAAATTCCAATCAAGAATTTCATACCCAGCCAAACTAAATTTCATAAACAAAAAACAAAAACATAACGAAAAATCCCTAACATCCTTTTAAGACAAGCAAATTCTAAGGAAATTCATTACCACCAGATCTACCTTAGAAGAGGTTCTTTAGGGAGTGCTAAATATGAAAAGGAAAGACTGTTACCAAACACCACCAAAACACACTTAAATATATAGACCACTGACACTATGAAACAACTACACAATAAAGTCTGCATAATAACCCCAGCTAAAAACATGATAACAGGATCAAATCCACACATATCAATATTAACCTTGAATGTAAGCACACCAAATGCCACAAAAGGCACAGTGTTGAGTTGGATAAAGAAGCAAGGCCCAACTGTATGCTATCTTCAAGAGACCCATCTCACATGCAATGGCACACATAGGCTCAAAGTAAAGAGACAAGAAAAATCTGCCAAGAAAATTGAAACAGGAAAAAGCAGGGGCGCTATTCTAATTTCAGACCAAAAATATTTTATACTAGCAATAATCCAAAAAGACAAAGAAGGGCACTATACAATGGTAAAGAGTTAGATTCAACAAGAAGACCTAACTATCCTAAATATATATGCACCCAACACAAAAGCACCATGCTCTGAGAGACCTATCAAGGGACTTAGATTATCACACAATAATAGTGAGAGACTTAATCATGCCACTGACAGTATCAGACATAACCAAGGCAGAAAACTAACAGATATTCAGGACTTGACCTTGACATTTGACCAAACTGACCTGATAGACATCTACAGAACTCTCCACCTCAAACAACAGAATATACATTCTTCTCATTGATATGTGGCACATTCTCTAAAATCAAATGTACATTCAGCCACAACACAATTCTCAGAAGATTCAAAAAATCAAAAGCATATCAACCAAGCTCTCAGTCCACAGCACAAAAACAAAACAAAACAGATATTAATACAAGGAGATCTCTAAAAACCATACAATTACATGGAAATTAAACAATCTTCTCCTGAGTGACTTTTGTGTAAGCAATACAGTTAAGTTAGAATCAAGAAATTCTTTGAAACTAAAGAGAACAAAGATACAACATACCAGAATCTCTGGGACACAGCCAAAGTAGTGTTAAGAGGAAAGTTTACAGTGCTAGATGCTCACATCAGAAAGTTAGATCTCAAATTAACAACCTAATATCAGAACTATAAGAGCTAGAAAAACAAGAACAAACCAACCCCAAAGCTGAAGACAATAAATAATCAAAATCAGAGCTGAACTGAATGAAACTGAGATGTGAGAAACCTCCAAAAGATCAATGGATTCAGGAGTTTATTTTTTGAAAGAATAAGTAAGATTGATACACCACTAGCTAGAATAATAAAGAGAATAAGGAGAAGACCCAAATAAACACAATTATAAATGGCAAATAGGGCATTACCACCAACCTCATAGAAATACCAAAAAAAAAAAAAAAAGAAAAAAGAATCCCTGAGAGACTACTACAAACATCTCTATGGATGTAAACTAGAAAACCCAGAAGAAATTGATAAATTCCTGGAAACCTACAACCTCCCAACAATGAACCAAGAAAATGAACGCTTGAAAACAGACCAGTAATGAGGTCTGAAACAATCAGTGATTAAAAAGCCTGCCAATAAGAAAAAGTCCTATACCAGAGAGATTCACAGCTGAATTCTTCCAGATGTATAAAGAAGACCTGTCACTATTCCTACTGAAACTATTCCAAAAAAATTAAGGAAGAGGGACTCTTCCCTAACTCACTCTATGATGCCAGTGTCATCCTGTTACCAAAAAATGGCAGAGACACAACAACAACAAAACTTCAGGCCAATACTTTTGATGAACACAGATGCAAAAATCCTCAACAAAATGCCAGCAAACCAAATCCAGCAGCACATCCAGAGAAGGTTTTTGATAAAATTCAGCATATTTTCATGTTAAAAAACCTCAGTAACTAGGCATTGAGGGAATATATCTCAAAATGATGAGTCATCTATGACAAACCCACAGCCAACATCATACTGAACAACCAAAAGCTGTAAGCACTCCCCCTGAGAAACAGAACAAAACAAAGAGGCCCATTCTCACCATTTCTATTCAGCAAAGTACTGGAAGTCCTAGTCAGGGTAATCAGGAAAGACAAAGAAGTAAAAGGCATCCAAATAGAAGGAGAGGAAGTCAAACCATCCATTTGTAGATGATATGAATCTATACCTGGAAAACCCCACAGTCTCTGTCCAAAGGCTCCTAAATCTGATAAACAACCTCAGCAAAATTTCAGCCTACAAAATCAATGTACAAAAATCAGTAGCATTTCTATAAATCATCAATGTCCAAGCTGAGAGCCAAATCAAGAACACAATCTTTCACCATAGCCACAAAAAGAACAAAATACCTGGGAATACAGTTAACCAGGGAGGTGAAAATTCTCTACAGTGAGAATTACAACACATTGCTCAAGGGAATCAGAGATTACACAAACAAATAGAAATATATTTCATACCCATGAGTAGGAAGAATCAATATTGTTAACATAGTCATACTGCCCAAAGCAGTTTACATATTCAGTGCTATTCCTATCAAACTACTAATGACATTCTTCACAGTATTACCAAAAAACTATTTTAAATAATGGCCAAGACAATCCGAAGTTGGAGGCATCACATCAACTGACTTCAAACTATATTACAAGGATGCCATAAACAAAATAGTAGGTACTGGTACAAAAAACAGACCCATAGACCAATAGAATGAACAGAAAGCCCATAAATGAAGCCACACACCTACAACCAAGGACATGGATGAAGCTAGAAACTATCATTCTCAGCAAACTAACACAAGAACAGAAAACCAGACACTACATGTTCTCACTCATAAGTGGGAGTTGAACAATGAGAACACATGGACACAGGAAGTGGAAAATCACACACCAGGACCTGTCAGTGGGTGGGGGGATAGGAGAGGGATAGCATTAGGAGAAATACCTAATGTAGATGACGAGTTGATGGGTGCAGCAAACCACCATGGCATGTGTATACCTATGTAACAAACCTGCATGATCTGCACATGTACCCCAGAACTTTAAGTATAATTTTTAAAAATTTAATTTAATTTAAAACGAAAGTTGACTTGGATTAGTTGTAAATGTATACCGACAATTCTAGGGAAACCACTAAAAAAAGTTAACTGATATGCTAGAAAGGAGACATAAGGATATCTGCTCAATTAAAACCATAAAAAGAAATCAATAGCATACTAATTAAAAACAGATAGTGTGTCCATAATATAGAGTATTTTGCAACAGTTAAATAAAATGGGGAAGATATAACTTTATGTAAAAGGCAATCTATTGTTTTTAGAACCAAATTGGCCTTAAAAATTGTTTAATGCAAAAAATTTACACATAACAAAATTATACCCGCACAATATGATGTGCACTCATCTCTAACTTTTCCTTCATGATTCTCATGATAATGTACTACAGGTTGAGTATTCCTAATCCAAAACTCCAAAAAAAACCTCATGGGAGCATTTCAGATTTCAGGTTTTCATATTAGGGGTGCTGAACAAAATATTCCCAAATCCAAAAATATCCAAAATCTGAAAGACTTCTGGTCCTAAGCATTTCAGATAAGGCATACTCAACCTATTCTATTCAAATCAGCCTTAAAAATCCTTATTTGCCCTCTTTAAAAATAAAAGGCAGAGAAGGACTGGAAGATAAAAATGGAACATAGAACAGAGATGACAAATAGAAAATGGTAAGAAATAGGGTAGGTATTAATCCAACTACATCAATAATCACTTTGAACACCAATGATCTAAACGTACCAGTTGATAGATAGAAATTGTCAGGGTGGATCAAAACATAAGATCCAACTACATATTAACTAAGGAAACTCACTTTAAATATAAAGACACAATAGATTAAAAGTAATTGGTTGGAGAACAAGACACCATGCTAAAACTCAAAAAGAAATCTAGAGGAGCCTCAGTAATTTCAGACAGAGCAGATTTCAAAGCAAGGGAAGCTATGAGGAGTAAATAAAGGCATTACATCATAATAAAGGAGTCAATTCTCTAAAAAGTCAAAACAATCCTTAACACACACGTTCCTTAATGTGTATATGCCTAACAACAGAGTGTCAAAATACATGAAGCAAAAACTGACAGCACTAAAAAGAAAAATAGATAAATCCACTATCTTCACTGGAGACTCAAAATCCTTCTTTCAGAAACAGACAGATCCAGCAGATAGAAAATCAGTAAGGACAAAGTTGAGTGTGACAATACCATTGATCAAAAGGATAAAACTGACACCTATAGACTACTTCATTCAACAGCAGCAGAATACAAATCTTCTCAAGCTCACATGTAAGAGTCACCAAGATAGACTATATTTAGGGCTATAAAAGACATTTGGAATTTTTCACAAAATAGAAACCATACAATGTCTGCACTCAGACCACAGTGGAATTAAATTAGAAATCAATAACAGAAAGATAACTGGAAAATCCCAAAACACATGGAGATTAAACAACACACTGCTAAATAACACATGGGTTCAAGAAGAAATCTCAAAAAATTTTTAACATATTTAAAATATTTAACATATTTCGATCTAAATACAAAATAGGCTGAGGTGGAAGGTTCACTTGAACCCCGGAGGCAGAGGTTGCAGTGAGCCTACATTGCTTCAGTGCACTCTACTCGGGGCAACAGAGTGAGTGAGACCCTGTCTCAAAACAAACAAATAAACAAAGATCTTTGGACCATTCTTGAAACAGATCAAATTGCCAAATTTGGGTCTCAACTCCCATGATACACCATTAGCTCTTGTTCTGGAGGCGGGATCTCTGTGCCTGTTGAGCAATCTCTGGCTGCACCAGAGAGCATGCTTGCTCCTATGAGATTACCTTTTCCTGCAGACCAGCTCCTATGGGCACAGATGGACAGAAAAAACCTGCTATTTCATATGGAGTGGGAAAACCTAGGGCCCTAATATTCTTCCAGTTTTTCTAAGGTTTTACCCATTGTTCTGCACCTGACTCTACCCAGAGTGTTTCTGGCTGCTCTGTTTGCACATTCATGGTACACAAGGGTGACTTACCTCCATGTGCCCCTCACACCAGAGAGGCTTAATGAGGGACAGGTGCAATCCCTGACTCTACCTCCACCTTATGAAGAATCCAAAATAATCTCTGGGTAAATTTTTTGGGTCAATATCTTCATACCATACTGCCGGAGTAAACCTGCCTCCTTTCTGAAGTCCCAGGCATTGGGAGCCCAAATATGGCAGTTTATTCTGAGAAGTGAAAGGTTCATGTTCCAGGCTTTCTTTTTCTAATTTGGCAATTCGAAAACTATTAGGCAAAACTCAGTGATACAGAAACAGAAGCAAAATTTCCTGCTTAGCCTGTAGTACCTGGTGGTGTTCAGGGTTTTCAACACTGAATAATAGATTATAGGTATTTCAAAATACTATAGGAACAACTGTATTGATTTATTTAATTTTATGATAAGCATGCTTAGTTGTTTAAAAATAGCTAGCCCTCAGCTGGGAAAAGTACACTCTACTACAATTCAGGCATGGTCATAGTGGCAATCAAATACATATAACATAGTTTACTTACAGCTCTAAGAAGAAAAAAGAAACATGAACAAGAAAGGGTCAACAGGAGCCACCAGGAACACTGAAGCAGCCTTGGCACTAGCCACATAAATACTGCCCGCGAAGTCCCTGAACTCTGCTCCCACGTCCCCTACACCCTCAACCCTGGACATCTGTTTTGCAGGTGATAATAGCTAGTGAACCCTCTTTAGGATTGTTTGCTTGGAAGCAGGATTTCAAATCTGTGTAGTGAAAAACTGACAGAACAAACATTTTCATAGTCAATTAGGTACTAACTCATAAAGTCAGGGGCTGTAGAATGGCAACTGAAGTGGCCAAGAAAGACGGGTAGAAGGGATGGTATTTTTTTGGGTGACCACTTAATACACAATATGGTGCTATTTTTAATTATCCCTCCAGTGTACAGCTGAAGAAACTGAGGCTCTGGAAAGTAAAGGGACTTGTCTAAGACCACAGAGTAAAAGTAGCCAAGTTGCAAACCCAGAGTGCTCAGATCCTAAAAATCCACATTGTTCTCATTACAGCAATTTCTCTCTCTGATGCGTCCTATCATTACTGAAACGGAGCCGATGGAATTAGGGTACAAATGTGGTAAGTGTCAGCTGGCACAGACATTCCTGTGCACGCGCGCACACACACACACACACACACACACACACAGAAATTGTTTATTTAGAAAATACTATGCAAGGAAGACTTTCGTGAAGGAAGATGAAAGCCCAAGGACATAGATGTTACACAAGGGTGACTTATCTGCGTGTAAAGAAGCAGAAGAATGACTAAGGTGCCCCATTGTTAGAAAAGTTTGTTTTGCTTCTGAGAAACAAGGGAAAATGAGAGATGTCAGGAAACTGGAATGGAGCTGGGGATGAAGACGGTTTTTCAGAATAGAGAAGTTTTACCCTCTAGTTACTTGGAATGCCGTTGGCGGACAAATTTCAGCCATCAGCCCTCTTGAAGAACTGCCCTCAGCTCCGCTCAGCTCAGCTCAAGAATGGCCTTGTCAGGGCTCATGCCCTTCCTGCATTCCTGCAGCCAGTAACTGGTAGATGGAGGGCTCTTGAGCTCAGCCCCCTCAATGAACACTGCAGGGCCATCCCAGCTTAGGTGTACCCCGTGCTGTAGCCCAGACCTTGTTGAGATGGTACCACAGCCCACCTTCTCTCTCTGCCTACTCCTGTTTCCTTCCTTGCCCCTCCATAAATGGATCCAGAGAGCCGGCCATCTCCAGAAACCTTTCGACATGAAAATCATCTCAGAGAGTGCTTTCCAATGAGCCCACCTGCTAAAGAGCATTTTTAAAGAACAAGGATGCGTAATGATTAGTTTGAAGTTGCTTATGTCCTTGTGACATGAGGCTTTTATTGCTAGCTTTGAAATATTCAAAAAAGTCAAGTGTACTCACAGAAGATTTGGGTGAGTAAGAGTATATTATTCAGGGTTCTCTAGAGGAACAGGACTAGTAGGATAGATGTCTATATGAAAGGGAGTTTATTAAGGAGTACTGACTCACACGATCACAAGGTGAAGTCCCACAATAGGCTGTCTGCAAGCTGAGGAGCAAGGAAGCCAGTCCGAGTCTCAAAACCTCAAAAGTAGGGAAGCCAGCATTGCAGTCTTCAGTCTGTGGCTGAAGGCCCAGGAGCCCCTGGCAAAGCACTGATGTAGGCCCAAGAGTCCAAAAGCTGAAGAACTTGGAGTCTGATGTTCGAGGGCAGGAAGATTCAACATGGTAAAAAGGTGAAGGTCAGAAGACTCAGCCAGTCTAGACCTTCCTCGTTCTTCTGCCTGCTTTATTCTAGCTGTGCTGGCAGCTGATTAGATGGTGCCCACCCAGATGAAGGGTGGGTCTGCCTTTCCCAACCCACTGACTCAAATGTTAACGTCCTTTGGCAACACCCTCACAGACACAGCGTTGACTGGATTTGCGTCCTTCAGTCCAATCAAGTTGACACTTAACCATCACAAAGCATATTGGGGAAAATGAGCTAGATTTTTTACTCTAGATCGATATGGGCCAGAATAGGGACAATAGGGACAGAAGCCCAGAGGATGAGATCATACCACCCACGAGTTTGTAGACGTCTTAGGAAAGGTTTTGAGCTACCATAGGGCATGTCCTAAGGGTTTAAGTCAGAGTTGCCTAGACCTGGAGAGGCAGGGACAAGCTGGCTGACATCTGGGATAGGGAACCTCAGCTTCTACTGAACCTCAGCTTCAGAGAAAGATGATAAGTCATTCCTGGAGCAGGGAAATAAATACAACAGGTTCATTTCAGGGAGAAGTGCAGGAATCTGCTCACTCCTTTATAAGAAATGAGCCTCCTCCTCTGAACTTCCAGGGTGCTGGCTCCACTCAGGTGGCTCCTGGCATTTGCCCTCAGTCTTGTAAATCACACCTCAGATGTCCAATTTCCCAAGCTAGGTTGTAAGGTGTCTCTTTGTTCTATGCCCCAAAGCACAATGCCTCACACCTAACAGACTCTTAAGAAAAATTCCATTAATTGCTTGCAGACCTTGAGACGGCTGAGTAAGAGGTCTGGCTGGCTCTTTAAAGGATCTCTTAAACCTGACACATAAATTTAGAACCACTGGTCTTTGGGTAAAGGAGCCCTTATTTGCTGGTTACCAAGCTTTCTTTACATACAAACTTTCGTTGTTTTGAAATAGAAATGCTGATTTCAATCAGCAGTTCCTTCAGAACCACTGCCTCGTACTAACCTTTTATTTAAAAAACGGAATGCTGAAGGCATAACTAGTACTTTTTCAATGAGATTTGGAAAAAGAATGAGAAAAGAACCATCACTGCACCTCTTTCTCCATTGAAGGGTTATTTCAATCTTCAAACAGAATGAACTTTGTTCATAAAGCACTTGGAAATCTTAAAATAGTAAAATAGTACTAGATAGTCACACATACACACACAGAGAGAGAGAGAGAGAGAGCTTGAATTCAGAGAATGAGAATTCAAGAGTGAGAATGTTGTCAACATACCAATATCAATACCTACCAATTCAGAAAAGCATGTGAAAAGACATAAAATATGATAGCAGACAGACCAACCCTAGAAGCCAGTGAAATATCTTGGGTGTTTCACTTAAACTTTCTGTATCAAAGCTTCTGCATCGTGAAGATAAGTTGGTTTGTACTTATGGCTACAAAATGAAAACAAATAGGTTCCAGAGCATGATGCCAGGTACGTATAAGGCCTATGGTAATTAAGAGGCTGCTTTAGAGTTCCTGATGAGATCTAGACTTCAGTATCACTCAGCTCCCACCATTCCCATCTCATCTTGGCAGTGCCTTCCAGCTCTAGTTTTAGAATAACTACACTTCTATTTGAAATGAAGCCTTGCCACTTACTAGCTATATGACAATAGGAGGGGTTCTTCTCCTCTTGAAATACAGACTCTTTACCTATAAACTGGAGAGTCATCTGCATCTCACAGGTATATGGTAAGAACTTCATGAAAGAGAAGGTGTCTGGCTTAGTGCACTCCCTGACACAAAGGAGGCCTACATGGAAAGCAAGTTTTCCTCCACATAAACATTGCTATGGCTTTGGTCCAGTTCAAAAACTGGGCTGGTACAATTATAAACTTCGTGCTACTACCCCATCTCGGGAACATTTTTAGCAAGTGCTTAATGTCTTATCATCATTTTTACCAGTGATTGCTACTGTACCATCAGCTACATATCAGGTTAACAAGGACAATAAAGAAGATAATGGACTTCTCATTTCTATTTAACCTTCTTCAGTCAAGATCTTCCTGTGATTGAAAGTGAAGGAAAAATTTCAAGAATTTGTGAACCAGCTAAATTGGAGACTGAATCAGTTATGAGGTTTGACTTCACTGTTACTTATAGAAACTCCCTGTGCCTTCTGCAGCCTCTAAATAGTTGACTTCGGTCCTCATGGTAGTACTCTACACCAGGGCTGTGCTCCAACCTGGATAAGAGAATAGGCATCTATGACACAGATGCAAAAATGCAGAAACCTGTTATGAGCATCAGCAGTGGCATGCACTGTGGTAGCCATGCGTGTAACCCATTCAATTACCAGGACATGAGACAGCACCATGAAAATCATCTTACCCTTCATCTTCCTCTATAAATACTACAGGTAAGATGTCTACATATAGGAGAAGCAGTGCCCACTTGGGCATAATGTGCATGTCACTACACTGATCTCTATGGCATTAATAATGCCAGACTAATGCCTGGTCTCTAGGCATTAATAATCTAAAACTGATGACAATAAAATCAGCAGCCCTGGAAAGGTGGCTCCTTCTAGATATCAGAGATTTAGAGCACCACAAAGCCCTACTCCTCATTAAGTTAACTTAAACAAAAGTCTCTGGCTAAATAGCTAAATGAGAAAAAAAGTATCATTTTTATCAATCTTTGCAAGCAACACCACTTGACCCCCAGTAAGCAAGGTTTCTGGTAAGCTGTGTTGGACATCTCAGCTGAAACCTGAGGCTAAAAGTGGTTTCTTCCTTTCCACTCCAAATGTAGATTTGGGGACATTTTGTGTACTTTAATCTCAAGTTTATGTGCTGTAAGACATGACACAGCTTCCTAAATTCCGAAAACTATACGAAAGCAAGTAAAATAGACCACACAATGAAATACTATATTTATAAAAGAAAAAAGTAGATATACGATAGATGGATGGATGGATGGATGGATGGATGCATGGATAGAATAAACTCCAAAAGTTTGATAACATACTTTGTGGGGAAACATCACTCTCATACATTGCTGGTGACAGTGTAAAGTGGCTTTTGGAAATATCTACCAACATTATGTATGCATTTATCCTCTAACTAAGCAATCTCACTTCTAGAAATCTAGCTCAAAGATAAACTGTCAATAAAACTAACAAACAAAGCTGAACGTGCAAGGCTATTTATTACAGCACAATTTGTACTAGCTAAAGATTGCAAATACTCAAATGTCCATCATTAGATTACAGGTTGATTACACAATAATACATCTATACAGAGGAGAACTTGGAAGCTGTAAAAAGAAGTATTCTGCCATATGCTACTGTGCTCCAGCATATATTGCTAAATAAAGGAGACAAAAATGTATATAATATGTTACCAATCTGAATATATTTTTAAATGAAAGGATGACCCATAAAATTTTTAAACATCAAAGGGAGGAAATAGGGCAAGGGATCAAGAGTAGAAGCTAGTCTTCATTAAACATGCCTTTGAATGGATCTGACTTCGGACCCATGGAAACATGTTACATAATTAACAAAGGTAATAAAACAAAAGTAGTTTCAAAAACTGTGAAGCAAAAGAAATCAAGAAAGCTGTGTATACCCACACATAGAAAGTGATTCAGCTGACTATAGACCAGAACAGGCATGTGAGGAGATTACTGAGCTGAGGGAGAGAAGCACCTGAGAGGATGAGAGAGAAGAGTGCTTGGGGCTCACATGGGGCCAGGAATAGCGCCTCTTCAGTCCTTCAGACTTGCCTAACTGGTAAACCTGGTCATTCATCAGCCATTGCATAGAGAATCCCAAAGGGTCTTGCTGCAGAAATGGGAAATAACCAGCTAGAGCCTATAGGACCTTCCCTGGTCCTACATAAGAAAGCTCAAAAGTAAGAACCAAAAATATCAAACTGCTTCCAAGCAACTAAAACAAAGATCCAAGCTATTTACTGGAATACAAAATTATCCAGCACCCACACAGGGTGAGTTTTAGCTCACAATGTCAAAGACATCAAAATAATTAGTGTAAGTATACTCTACTTGTTGAACTAGCTAGAGGAAGTAACGAACATGTTAAGCAGAGACAAGAAAGATGTGACTGTAACAAAAAGACTCAGATCAAACTTCTAGAGATGAAACTTAATGTCTAAGACAAAGAATATACTGAATGTTCTAGTTAATTTTGCTACAAATCTCAAAAGGCTTATAATGTCTACTTATAAACATACACTGAATGAGATTAACAGATCAGACATTGCAGAAGAAAAGATTAATACATTTTAAGATATAGCAAGAGAAACTATCCAAAATGACACACAGAGAAGGAAAAAAGGCATAAAAAACAAGCATAGCACCAGTTAGCTGCGGGACAACTTCAGAGAGCCTACACATACAACGTGTAACTGCAGTTCCTAAAGGGGAGAACACATATCCCTGCAAATATTTATTCTTCCTGTGCTGACTGCATGAATTGGCAATGCAAAGGTGATTCAGACCTATCATTAAACTGTTTCTTAGGGCCCTGATGTTTTTCAGGTCATGGACTTTCAATTGGAAAAGTGGGCCCAGAAGCTTCCCCAGACTCTCAGGCCTTTTCCATGGTTTCCCATTATTGAGCTTTTTAGTGAGGTGGATCTGATCCCTAAAAATCTCAATAGAGCAAGACGAAGGAGCCTCCCTCTACTCACACTGTTCCCAGGAACTAAGGCCTCCCAGCCATTGCAAAAAACCTGATAAGTCTAAGAGGGAAACCAGCAGTTCAGCCTCAAAATGTTCCGGAAAGCAAGTTCCTCTAACAGCAGACTTGTAGAGGGGCCAGAAACCTTAGGGACAGCTGCTAGTGAGATGCCTGTGACTTTAATGCCAGACCTGACTCTCCTTGTGACAATTCTGTGGGGAATGAAGTTATTCAAACTTACAAGGCTCTAGCATATGACTGTGCATAGATCTAGCTCTGTATTCACAACTGCCATCCAGTTACAATGTGGGCCTATGATGCTAAGTGATTATTTCACTAACATGACATTATAAAAAGGAGAAACTATAGGGACAGAAAGTAGACCATGGTTGTAAGGTACAGGGTATGGTGGGAGGGGCTGACTACAAAGGGGCAGCACAGGGAATTTTGGGGGCTAGAGAACTGTTCAATGGTCTTGATTGTGCTGACAATTATATGACTATTTGCACTTGTCAACATTGATAGAACTGTTTACTAAAAAGAGTGAATCTTATTGTATACAAATCAAAACTTATAGAACTATGTATAAAAAGAGGTGAGATATGCTGCATGTAAATTATATCCTCCTTATTAAAATAAATGGAAAACAAGCGAACTTATTTTATTTTTTTAAGACAACGTTTTGCTCTTATTACCCAGCCTGGAGTGCAGTGGCATGATCTCGGTTCACGGCAACCTCCATCTCCAGGATTCAAGCAATTCTCCTGCCTCAGACTCCTGAGTAGCTTGGATTACAGGCCTGTGCCACCACGCCTGGCTAATTTTTGTATTTTTATTTAAGATGGAGTTTCACCATGTTGGTCAGGTTGGTCTCATACTCCTGACGTCAGGTGATCCACCTGCCTCGGCCTCTCAAAGTGCTGGGATTACAGGTGTAAGCTTCTATACCCACCATAAGTAAGTTTTTAAAACTCAAAAATATTAGGGCTTTAAAACACAAATATATTAACATATGTTATATAATATTTGATTTTTATTAGGACTGATCCCAACTCACACTCTTGTAACAAATGTCTCAAACTTTAATGTGTATACTAATTTCCAAATAGTTTAAAATTCAGAGACTGATTCAGGAGGGGTGAGGCCATTTCTCACGAGTTTCCAGGTGATGTCCCTGGTGCCTGTCAGGGACCACACTCCCTGTGTCCAGTAAGGCACAGGACACCAACGGTCTCATTTGATGTATGAAGCTGAAGCCAAGAGAATAATTCATTCGATGAAGCAGGCCCTCCATGTACATCCCCTTGGCCTCTGTGAGTGAAAGGATCCGTCTTAGTCACAGTGTGCCCCTTGCCCTCCTCAGAGCTGAAAGTTGTCCAGCTGTCATTCCATGGGGCCTCCTTTTTGGCCTCTAGTGGGAACATGGTGCCAGGCTTGGAATTTAATCTGGACTTGAGGTGGAAAAAAAAACAAAAACACTTTTCTGAACAAAAACCCTTCCTGGAGAGCAGAAGCTTCAGGAGGACCATGGAGCCACAAAGGCTCACTTACCCACCCATTCACTCATCCATGCACCTACCACCCATCAGTGCATCTATCCATTAACCCATTCATCTATCCACCTATGAATAGCAACCTCTCTTCAAATGCACATGGAAATTCCTCCGTCAGAAAGGAAATCAACACTGACTTCTTGTCATTCTGCCAACATTCCAATGACTTTGAGCAGTACCACCTAATAACTGCTAAGAGCTGAGTGTTGTCTGTACACCAGTAGGGGAGTTTCATTTATGGAGTAGTCCCCCTGCAGGAGTGAGAAGTGGCTGTGGCCAGAAGTCAGTTGGAGAATGGCAAATGGGTGGAATTTATATTCAACAACTTCATGGCATTTTCTTAGAGAATTGGCACTGGCATTTTTTTTTTTTTTGCATGCTAAAAAAATACTATGTGAATGTCTTAACAAACAGCCGCTTCACTGACCAATGCCCTCAGGTATAAAACATCACTTAGCAGACTAATACAAGCCAACACCTTCAGATACCTGGCTTGGGGATTTTCAAAATGAAGCAACTACACATATATTGAGAGTCTAAGTTGTTAACATTTATTGAGCACTTACTATGTGCCATAAACTATTCTTAGTGCATTTCATACATTATCTCAACTCACCCTAACAACAATCCCATGAGGTAGAAGTCATTATTAGTCCCACTTTATAGATGAGAAATCTGAGGCTCAAAGAGTTTGGTTAACTTGTCCAAGGATACATATTAGTCGGTGCCATGGAGAGAGAAAAATCCCAGCAGCTCGCCCCCTGTACCTTCCCTCCTGACCACTGTGCTAGGGTCTACTCTATGCCTGACACCGCATCTATTAATACTTACAAAGCCCTAGGACTCCCAGTTTGGAGAACTTGGAGAAGGAGGGCAGTATGATCACCAGGTGTGTTGGCACTAACTTCTTCACAGAGATGACAAAGTCATTTGCCTGATATCCTTGAAATGTCACATGCTAAGTAAGCCTCCAGGCACTGCTTACTGAGCTGGAACATTCCTTCTTACCTAGATCTCGCCTTTGCTTATGTACAAATGGGGAAGGCTGTGGAGGATGCAGGTATGGTGGGGAAATTTAGGAGTTCAGTTTTTGGAAATCCTGAGCTTGAGATGTCTAACTGACATCCAAGGAAAAATGTCAAAGAGCAGATTAAAATTCACATATTTACTGAACTATTTATGAACATAACATATGATGAATAGGACTTCCTTAAAAGTAACATGGGAGAACAGGTGGAAGTATAGAAAAACAAGATTGGTCATGGGTGTAATTGTTAAATTGGTTGGGTTGATTAGTCTATGAAAAATTATACTATTCTGATTTCTATGTGGCTGCAACTTCCTATAATTAAATTGTTTAAAATTCAGTGTTCTCATTGTTCAACACCTACCTATGAGTGAGAACATGCAGTTGTGTCAGGTTGCTGAGAATGATGGTTTCCAGATTCATCCATGTCCCTACAAAGGACACGAACTCATCATTTTTTATGGTTGCATAGTATTCTGTGGTGTATATGTGTCACATTTCCTTTGTCCAGTCTATCATTGATGGGCATTTGGGTTGGTTTAAAGTCTTTGCTATTGTAAACAGTACCACAATGAACATATGTGTATATGTGTCTTTATAAATCATTATTTATAATGATTTATAATCCTCTTATAAAAGTAATGGGATTGCTGGGTCAAATGGAATTTCTATTTCTAGGTCCTTGAGTAATCACCACACTGTCTTCCACAATGGTTGAACTAATTTACACTCCCACCAACAGTGTAAAAGTGTTCCTATTTCTCCACATCCTCTCCCGCATCTGCGGTCTCCAGATTTTTTAATGATCGCCATTCTAACTGGTGTGAGATGGAATCTCAATGTGATTTTTGATTTGCACCTCTCTAATGACCAGTGATGGTGAGCATTTTTTCATGTTTGCTGGACTCATATATGTCTTTTTTTGAAAACTGTCTGTTCATATCCTTTGCCCACTTTTTGATGGGGTTGTTTGTCTTTTTCTTGTAAATGTGTTTAAGTTCTTTGTAGATTCTGGATATTAGCCCTTTGTCAGATGGGTAGCTTGCAAAAATTTTTTCCCATTCTGTTAGTTGCCGGTTTACTCTAATGATTGTTTCTCTTGCTGTGCAGAAGCTCTGGAGTTTAATTAGATCCCATTTGTCTATTTTGGCTTTTCTTGCCAATGCTTTTGGTGTTTTAGTCACGAAGTCCTTGCCTATGCCTGTGTCCTGGGAGGGGAGGATCACACACTGGGGTCTGTTGGGGGTGGGGCTAGGGGAAGGACAGTGGGGGATGCGGAGGTTGGGGAAGGATAACAAGGGGAGAAATGCCAGATATAGGTGACGGGGTGATGGAGGCAGCAAACCACATTGCCATGTATGTACCTCTGCAACAATCATGCATGATCTGCCCATGTATCCCAGAACCTAAAGTACACTTAATAATAATAAATTTTAAAAAGAAGATACACAAAGGACATTACTAGAATAAATTTTATAGTATTGCATGTCTATATCAATGAAATAAAGATAACTAAGACATTCCATAGAAAAGGCATAGAAAAAGGCTTGAAGCTAATAACAGCACTTAAAAGTTACTCTTTCTATCCATCCTCCCAAAAAACCATTCAGATGGAAGTGAGTAAATAAATAAATTACACATTTGTGCATCACTGAAAGACAGATAACACAATATAGTGAAAACTGACTATAGGCAGAGAAATACTTTTCAGAAGAAAAGAACTGAATTTTAAAATGCCATAATTCTATGTGTGTAGAGTGAAGGCTGAAGAGAAAGCTTAGAAAAGAGTAAAGGGAAATAGAAATCCTACTAGTGGGGTCACTACCGTGGCTCTGCTGTCAACAAAGACTATCACCCAAATGACGAAGATGACATGCATACAGGTCTGTAGATCCAAAGGTAGCTGATCAAGGTAGCCCATTCTTCACACCCAAGTGAACTCAAATGATATCAACAGAGCTACCTCAGTCAAGTCACTGATTCACTTATTGCTTATTGTTGGATATCACTGAATTCATGAGTATTTCTTTTTATCAATAAATAACTGATGCTTGAAAAAAAAAGTTCAGGACACACAATAACCACCAAAAGTGTATAACCTGAAGCTCATGATGAAGAAACACTAGACAAACCCACAGTAAGAAATACCTTACAAAACAACTGGCGTGCACTCTTCAAAGATGTCAGTGTCATGAAAGACAGAGGGACTGAGGAACCATTCCAGAGTAAATACACCAAAGAGACACAACAACTGAGTGTAATATGTGATCCTGGCTTGTAACCTGAATCAGAAAGGCAATTGCTATAGTGGGTATTATTGGGATAATCAATGAAATCTGAATAAGGGTTTGTATGTTAAATAGTAGTATGCATTGATGTGAAATTTCCTAAATTCAGTCATCACACTGTGGTTATATAAGGGAATGTTCTTGTTTTTAGAAGCTACACATTTAAATATTTGGGGATGAAGAATCACGATGCATGGACTCTTTCTGAAATGAATCAGTAATAATAATTTATAAGTGTATATGTGTATATGTATATATATATATATATTATAAAGATAGATATGAAGAACAATTACAGAAATGGGGCAAAATGTTGGCTGGTAAATCTAGATGAAGTCTATACTGATCAATACAGAAGTGAACATCTTGCTCAGTCCTGGCCCCTTCCCAGAGTGGCCCACAAGGGGTTACAAAGGCCCTCTTGTCCCAACTCAGGACAGTTCTGCAGGGTCATCCAGCCCTAGAACTTCCTATGGGGTTGGCAGAGGCCTCTAGTGACCCATGTCACAGCTTGACTTCTCCCTGACCAGCCTGCTTCTTTCCTCCTCCTATCTACAGGTGTTGGTCTCCAGAAGACTCCCTCACAAACCTTGTCCTACATATTAAACTCTGTCTCTGAGTATGCTTCCTGGGTATCCAGCCGTGGCAATTAATATGACCGTTTTACAGATAACAAAACTAAATCTTAGAAAATCACTTGCCAAAGGTTAGACAGCTATTTATTAGTGGAGCCAAGACTCAGACACCAAATCTGCTGACCTCCAGCTTCTCCTCCTTTCTCTTTACCTCTCCAAATTATATCCCTCTGTGAATGCCAAGGTGAAGGCTAAGTCCCTGCTTCTCTCAGAGGCCTCTCAACTTCCCCTTTCTGACCTTAGAGCTCTCATCATCTGTTTGGTTTGGCTCATGGCCATGATCCCATTTGGGAACTTTTCTTAACCATCACTTCATATTACATAACCATTATATTGTCACTTAACATTTTACATTTGAAGTTTTGTATTTTCTCTATATTATAATCTCTATGGAGACAAATGTCATTAATTGTTCTTCTTGGCATCCCAATAGCTGCCATCCATATGCTGAGCATACAGTATATCACTGTGCAGAGAAAGAACAGCAAGATTTCCTCTGGCTGGCTGGCTTCTAAGACTTTGAAACAGAAAACACAACATGCTCAAAAGATACACAGATCTGCAGCCTTGATCTCCATTTTGTCTTTTCCAGAATGGCACAGGGATTCACAATACCAAATAGAAAAAGATGCAGGCTATTCCAGTAGAGGAGCAACACCATCCATGGGAGAGTAACCCAAACTGCATCAGCCCACATTAAAAATGTGAGCCAGAAAGTACTTGGTCAATTACAGTCAAGCAATAAGGAGAAAAACAACACATTAGAAATACAATCATTAGCATGCATCTTGGCCAATTAATTTGGCAAAATACTTTCATTTTAATTATTTAAAACACTTCATAATATGCTAGGAAATGGGGTATTGTGTACTTTGCAAAAGTAATGAAGTCTTAGATCAAAAATTCAACACCACATTGTTAACTTTTATGGGTGAAATAAGCAAACCACTTTGCTTCTTTTTAAAGACTATCAACTGGGAAATTAGCAACGTCTTCTGTATTATCGCCTCCAAGCAGGGAGGTGGAAGTAGTTTCCCTCTACAGAGGGAAAGATTAATTCAAACTCCCTCACTTCCAATTTCTGGGAATCACTTCTTGACATGGTAATTATGTTAATACATGACCACTCTGGTACACGTAGGACTAGAAAACAATGAATACATAAACATATTAACAGCTGTAGGCTTGGAAATAATTTTCTGTATTTTTTTCTCCTTTGCTTTCAAACATTAGCATGGATGAGAATATGCTGTACTGCAGGAATACTATAAGCGCAAATCAACTGAAAAATAATTCTTGCCAAACTTCCCTAACTATTCAACCAGCACCAATACAAGAAGTAGATTTTAGAGAGAAGTTTCTAAGTTGGACCATCTTAGTCCCAGGTATTTTGCTACAGCAGCACAAATGGACTAAGACAGTATCACATGACTGGGTCACACACTGGTCAATATGCTTTAACACTGCATCTTCCTAGGGGGCAGGCAACACACTACTTACTCCCTCATGCGTTTCATCTTGGTCCTGGCCATCACACTGTTGAAAACTTTTGGTCCTGAGGACATGTCTGCAGCCATGCTGGTGATGGTCTTTGTGTCTGAAAAATCAGTACAAAGCTCTTATTGACTTCATCAGCAATCCTGCAACTTCGAGGCAATGTTCAAGGGCAATCAGAAAACAGAAGTTAATCCACCTTTGCCACATGGTAATGCTACATTAATGAATTCAATTACAACATGCACATTAAGAAGATTTATTCCCAATGACAAGATTATTTACAGTTTTAATATGCACAAGGCATTCCAGGATAAAGCCTCTCTCACAGCTGATTGTTTAAACAAAACACCATTGTTTAAAAGATGAGCTTTTTATCCTAGAAAACTCAGGGGGAAAGGTATCTACAGAAAAGCAAGTGCTCCTGAGGACCTTTTGGCCGTCTCTTTCAGCAGATGTGGATGTTTGACTAAATGACTAGGAGTTTTTTCAATAAGCTTAGTTATTTAAAAAAAGAAGCAGCTAAAACTGGCCCATTAGTAAGAGCTCAGGGCAATCCATAGAGCTGGATTTACAATTTGGCTTCTGTGCTGCTCTTTCCTCCATGAAACTGGGGCGAAGTCCTCCCTGTGCACTTCCTTAGATCTCTCATAAGGTGCTTCACACCCCATTGGTAAAAAACTGCCCACCCTAATGATAATTTATAAATTATATCCATGCAGTTGCTATGTCAGAGAGAAGAGACTCCTGTTATGAAATTCCCATTCTTTTCTCAACAGATTTCACATAACATCTGCCTGCTTGACTTACGGACCCAGTAAAGAAGCAAGGTGGAGTCCCCATTTGACATATCAGTAAAGTTATTTCTTCTATTTTCTAAATGTGAAAAGTTAAATGCAAATTCTAATGTGTCTCACATACACTCTCCTTTTGCACTACCTGTTGAGGCATGCATCCCACTTCGAACTTCTTGCTCTTATATATATAATTGACATGAATATTCTCTAGCTTAATTCTTTGCCGAAGTCTGATCTTTCCTTAGACTAAATCCCTAGATATAAAAATACTGGATTAACAGGTACAAACTTCGTAAAGGGCATCATCCAGATTAACTCTGTGTTTCTCACAGTAAGTTCATCAGTCATGCCTTCATGATAAAAACACAAGTACCAGCAACTGATTGCTCCCCTTTCGCTCACTCCTGGAGATTACCCCACCACACCTGGAGAGGAAAACTGCCTCATCCATCACTGCAACTTTCTGTCAGCTCCAACCTTCCCACTAGCTCTGGCCAGGACACATACTTTTCCCCAGGGAAGCTTGGGGAGTGGGCAAGAGGAAGGCATAGAAGTTTATTTCATATTCCTGTTGGTTGCTTTTTACAATAATTTTTCCTAGAACCGGAAAAGTTACCAAAACAACACCAACCATACCACACCAAAACACTCACATGCAGGCTCAAAAACCAGTTCTGCCAAGAATAACAATAAGGTGCTCCTTTCCCATCTTTTCCAGAGCAAGTAAGTTCTGAAGATTTATGCAAGTAAAGGTCAAAGCAATTTCCAGGAGAGCTGCAATTTGTTTTAAGCTGGCTACTGTTCCTCTCAACCAGGCACTCAGCGCTGCTAGAAAAGATGCTAAGCCTTAAGCCCAAGGGTAGAAAACAGGGCAAGTACGATTTCAAGCAACAGGAATGGCAAACCTTGGTGCTCAGAGCAATTCCCTTCTCAGTGTTTCTTATAGGCCAGCTTACTTTCTCTCTGCATCCCATTTTCCAACGTGAACAGTTTCTTTATGTCAAAGGAAAGGACAATCACAATAAAAATAATTGGAGCTAGAAACACAGATGTCCTCCAATAGATCACTGAATCCCAGAGTGTGTTCTAGACCACTGCTTCTCAAAGTTAATGTCATACAAATCATCCAGGGATCTTGTTAAAATGCAGATTCTTCTTTAGTAGGTTTGGGTAGGACTTGGGATTCTGCAGTTTCCATAAGTTCCCAGGTGATACCAATGCTGCTGGTCCTCCAACCACACTCTGACTAGCAAGGCTCTAGAGAGGCCAGCTACATAATTTGTGGGGCCCAGTGCTAAATGACTATGCAGAAATCTTTGTTCAAGAAACAAGAGGATAGCTTGGTTTTTTGGGTGTCTGCATTTCTCTTTGGACCTGTCATTGTGCTTTTTGTTGGGTATTTAAATGCCATTCTCCCCCAGGAACTAGGACAGATACTCTCCAAGGGAGTGCAGACACTTACAGGGACCTGGCAGTCTTACCTCACTCCAACCCTTCCCCAGTATTACCTAGGACCCCACTGGGAATGGAGGGTTGCAGTGGTTATGGGGTGGGGATTAAGGAACGGGTGGCAGAGGAATCTTCCCAGGTAGATGTCTTAAAAGCAAGACAGCACATGAGCAAGGCTTTAAGCCCTGGGCCTGTGTTCCATCGTCCTATCAGCTTTCACTCATAGAACACAAATTCAAAGATAAACTTTAATGAAACCCCATATGTGGGCTCCTTTCTGAACCCGGGGCCCTGGGTAACTACACTGGTCTCATGTCCATGAATTCCTGGTTCTTAAATCTTTGCTTTCTGAAAAATAGCTGAATCCTTAATCCCAATGTTAATTTTTAAAAACAAATTTTGCCTTTATTAAAATACTAGTAAGTCAAATGCAGTAACATGAAAAAAGGATAGTACACCTTTCTTCCTAAGATCAGAAACAAGACAAGAATGTCTTCTCTTGCCATGTGTATGTAACACTGTACTATAAGTTAATGACAGGGAAATTAGGCAAGAAAAACAAATCAAAGGCATCCAAATAGAAAAAAACAAAGAAAAATTATCTCTATTTGCAGATAACATGATTTTGTACACAGAGAATCTATGTCCTATAGAATATGATAGGCATATTCAGACCTTGTACTTCTTACACCTTATGCAGAAATTAACTCCAGATGGATTAAAGACTTAAATGTAAGACCTAAACCCATAAAAACCCTAGAAGAAAACCTAGGCAATACTGGTCAGGACATAGGCATGGGCAAAGACTTCACGACTAAAACACCAAAAGCAATGGCAACAAAAGCCAAAATTGACAAATGGGATCTATTAAACTAAAGAGCTTCTGCAAAGAAGAATCAATCATCAGCATGAACAGGCAGCCTACAGAATGGGAGAAAATTTTTGCAATCTATTCATCTGACAAAGGGCTAATATCTATCTAGAATCTACAAAGAATTCAAACAAATTTATAAGAAAAAAACAACCCCATCAAAAAATGGGTGAAGTATATGAACAGACACTTCTCAAAAGACATTTATGTGGCCAACAAACATATGAAGAAAAACTCATCATCACCAGTCATTAGAGAGATGCAAATCAAAACCACGAGATACCATTTCACACCAGTTAGAATGACGATCATTAAAAGGTCTGGAGGGGGGTACTCAAGATGGCGCTGTGAGAACAACCCAGGATTGGAGCTCTCGTTGTGTCTGCGGAGAGGTGAGTCTGAGCTGCATTTCCAGACTGATCTTTGTTGCCCACAGAACGGGGAAAATTCCCAAGTGAAGAGGAGACGTGGGACGCCAGGCAGAACCTCCGCCTGGTGAAGCCAGCAGCCGGGGTGGCGGCGGCAGGCCCTGCCCAGCGCTCCCCACAGGGCGCGCTTGTCCGGGTGCCCCGTTGAACCGGCAACCGGAGACGTGAGAGGGCTGGACTTGAGACTGAGCTAGACTTGGACAGTAGGCCAGCCCAGGGGATTGCAGGGACAGAGCGTTAGGGGTGGCCTAGTGGGACGAATGAAACCGAGATTTCAAACAAGCCCTGTGCAGACGGACCAAGACGCTCTGTGGGGGAGGGGCGTCCACCATTACTGAGGCAACCCCCCCAACTGAGATACACGCCCATTGCTGACGCAGCCAGCCGTTGCCGAGGCAACCCGTCCCTACTGAGATACACGCCCACTGCTGACGCAGCCTGCCGTTGCCGAGGCAACCCGCTACAACAGAGAGACTCCGCCACAGGGTGTGGCGGAGAACACAGCAGAACAGCGGAGCCAGGGCGAGCCTCAGGACAGCAGGGCGGAGCCTCGGCAGGCAAACAGTGGCTAGTCTGCGTCCTAGCTGGGCAGGACCTCAACGGACATCCAAAAATAAAGCCCAAACCCCTCAACACAGAGCATTTGAGAAAAAAAAAGGGTTTTTTTAATGAGCTCTGTTGCAGCAGAATCAAACATAGCAGCCTAACAGCCCTGAATGAACAACAGAGCTCACAGCTCAGCAATTAAGCCCCTATAAAGTACAAACTGTCTCCTCAAGCAGCTCCCTGACCCCTCTATATCCAAAAGACTGACATTAGGCAGGCATCATCCTGGGACAAAGATAGCAGAAAAAGAAACTGGTAGCATCCCTCACTGTGCCACAGCAGCTAGAGGTGCACCCCAGACAAGCAGGGTCTGGAGCGAACCTCAGCAGTCGTACAGCAAAGGGGCTAGACTGGTAGAAGGAAAACCAAGCAACAGAAATACTTCATCATCAACATTCTGGGTGTACACTCAGAGACCCAATCGAAAAGTCAGCAACTACGCAGACGACCAGCAGACAAATCCACAAAGATGGGAAGAAACCAGCGCAAAAAGGAGGAAAACACCCGAAACCAGAACACCTCGCCTCCTAGAAAGGACCAAAACTCCTCCCCAACAAGGGAACAAAGCTGGACGGAGAATGACTGTGACGAAATGACGGAATTAGACTTCAGAAGATGGATAATGAGAAACTTTTGTGAGCTAAAAGATCATGTATTAAATCAATGCAAAGAAACTAAGAACCTTGAAAAAAGATTTGAAAAAAGATTCAAGGAAATGATAACAAGAATGGATAACTTAGAGAGGAATATGAATGAATTAAAGGAGCTGAAAAACACAATACGAGAACTTCACGAAGCATGCACAAGTTTCAATAGCGGAATCGACCAAGCAGAAGAAAGAATATCTGAAGTCGAAGACCAACTCAATGAAATAAAATGAGAAACCAAGATTAGAGAAAAAAGCGCAAAAAGGAATGAACCAAGTCTCCAAGAAATGTGGGACTATGTGAAA